TCATCCATCCATCCATCCATCCATCCATCTTCTACCCTTTAATCCATTTCTGGGTCAGGGGGGTGGCAGTCAGAGATGCCACCCAAGTCTCATAGCACCAGCCCCTCACTGACCCTCTGCAGGTGGTGAGTCCACAGGAGGACGGCTGCTCTCTGAGTGTGAGCATAGCCTTGATCTTTCAGTGGGGGCTTTGGGCAAAGTGGGGTTAAGTGTCTTGCCCAAGTACACAACGACAGCAGTCATCAGTGGGAGTCGGTGGAGAAGGTGCAGAGGTGGGAATTGAACCCACAACCTTCTGGCCTTAAGGCCAATGCTCTACCAACTGAGCTACTGTCGCCCCAATCTCTATCTCTGTTCAATCCAATTTTATTATTGTCACAACAGCAGTCGTCTCGGAGGAATTTACAAAGTTGTCGATTCACCAACAACAGATCAGAGAATCAAAATGTTCAAACAAAGTAAATGCAATAACACATAGGGGCCATTGGTCTTTAGGGAGCGTGATGAGCGCTTTCCATAAATGTCCGGGCTCATCGTTGTCCTTAGACCCTCCTGCATTTACAAGGAGCGGCTCAAAAAAACATTTAGCTCAAGAAAACATTTGAGAAACCTCTGAGGGCCCTATACTGAAAACGGGATCCACTACTTTGGGCGGACAGCTGTAGATCCAGGACTCTCGCTGCAGAACCAAGACTGAGGTTCCCAGGTGGGGACAGGGGGTGCTGCTTACAAGTCCAGAGCGACCCGTTCACTTAAAAACACAAAGTTCTCAACAATTTATTGTGTGTCAATTCAAGATGGAAATGCATAGTTTTCAATGAGCTATTATGACATTACAGTTAATTCATAGAACCCCATTATGACCGTGCATACCATTGTTGTGATCTTGAATCCAAGCCCAGTGAAGAACCCGTCGTCTTCACTGGCTTCCTTCACTGTGTGGCTGTTATTAGAGAGTTTGTAATGATCATTTAATTAATTATAATCAAGGTGTGTAATGTAAATGTCTCTGCTGACACGTCGGACACGTAGCATGGCAGTAGGAGTTGAGCACAGTCTGCGTAAATCTGGTGTGAGCCTAATGTAATGGAATAATGGGCTTGTTAAAAGGACCTTTGGGGACGGCGATCTTTAACCAGTGAGTCAGAGCAAGGCCTCGGGGCCAGCCTGATTTTAATTGTTAATAGGCTTAAATTGGAGGGGAATATTTTACACCCTAACAAGCAACAAGTCAGGGCATTAACAGTTAATTATTTCTACTCCTGCATCATCTTTATCAATGGGGATTTAGCAGTTTGAAGATATAGCTAATGTTAACCCCCAGCAATTAGTGTTTTAATCATGAAATGCTCTCGATACTTTTTGTGATTTCACGGCTACAGCTTCACATAAAGCTCTGTTGTTTTTGTTTTTAATGTCGAGCTCAACAAGTTTTCTTTCCCAGATCCTAATAAAGTTTTCCACACCCTGGTGAACAGCACAGCTTAAACAAGATGAATGGAAATGCAGATATGTGCCAAACAATGAGTAATGTCGGGAGGATGTATAATAAAGAGGATAAATGCAGCACAAGTCCCTAGGGAGTAGTGGCGCTGATGGTTCGGAGCAGGGCGGAGGACAACACCACACTTTGTTCAACACACATGGGCTCTAATGACCGCACGACTAAGCAAAATGTTTATTCTTAACAAGCGTCACCAAAGTTTTCCTCCAAGAAACTATTTGTTGCCTTGATTTTTTTGGCGCCATTATAAAACCTTTTCGCAAAAGTGTTGCCACCGCTTTCAGTTTGCCTTTAATTGGTAATGGCTGTATTCTGGTTGTTTTTGTGAACAGGTTAAAGAGATCATTTTTCATCAGTTTTTATGAGATCCAGAATCTGTAAACGTTTTTGGCACACCTTTGTCTAGGTCTCGGGTCAAATTGCCCAGCCACAGTGATGAAAAAAAATACCCTAAATATTTGTTTCCCAAGCTGATTTTTGCTGATGAACTTGACCAGTCCTGGGTGACTTAGACCCTTTTAGACCCGAATTTGGGGTATTTTCCTTCTACTTTTAATCCTTCTGTGTGTGCTCATTTTGATCCGAGGGTGGCACAAGATTCTACTAGTTCATGAAATTGATCCATTCTCTAAAGCCTCTGTGGCAACCTGTCAGGGGCAGTGGTGCCTAAAGCCCAGCCGCCTAGGACCCTATAGGACCTCCGTAGGGATTTTGTCTTTGGGACGAACCAGTGTCAACAATAAACAAATATGCAACAATGAGAGAATACAAATATGACTTGTTTCTGAAAATATTAGTAGTGTTTTTCGTGGATTGCCTGGATTGACAAAATATTTTGAATTGCACTTGCTACGAAGTGGTTAGCGTTGTAATGTACTCTAGCTGCGTGCGCTTGTCTTAATGAGTCTCATCTAAGCCCAGCCTTTTTGAGTCAATATTAGGTCTTCTAGTGATTGCTTCTGTATTGAAAACTTGCTCGTCCTTAAGAGAACTTGAGGCATCACCATCCATCAGAGTTCAGCGTAGGATATCACTATTTTCTCCCCTCGTATCCATCTTTCCACCTTACACAAACCTTTCCGATAATGCACTCCGCATCAAAAAGTGCGTGCCGCTCCAGCACTTGTCACAGTCATTTATTTAAAAGAAAGCAATGCTACGACAGAGACTGATGGACACGTTTATTTGTCTGTTTAACACCGAATGTCACGTCTTCTCTCTCCTGGAGCCCGTGTGAGCAGCGGGGGTCTGCAGGGTGTTTCTTACAGTTATTAATACCTGCTCTCAGTCCTTTAATCTGCTCTATTTGTCACATGTTACTGTCTGACTGCCTCTCTAATCTGGGGATTCTTCATCTGTCGCAAGAGAAGATGAGGAAATAATGACAGACATTGTGCTGAAACTACAACATTATGGTTGAATATATTGGAGAATAGAGTTGATGGGTGAATCTCAAAGTATTCAATCATTACTATATGTTTTTCCTTGATACTGATGGATGCATCCTAACATGGTGGTTGTTTTGTAAGTATGTCTAGCTACAAAATACAGCATCAACCTTTAAAGGATTCAAATTTGCATAATTGTGAGATTGTTGAAAATAAACCACCCTTCTCTCTGTAAATCTCTTACATCTGAAATGGTTAATTGTATCATTACCTCTTTGCATTACTTGAGTCTCAAGACCTCGAAGACATAGTTCAGCTCAGAACATTGTCATACATGGGGATAATCACTCAAAAAAAAAATAATGCCATACTTTGATTATTATTATACTGATACGAAAATGTGCCACTGCTCTTACACCTGATTGTTAATGTCACTAAGGATTTTTCACCTGGATAAACCGGAAGATGAGACATTTTACAAGGAAAGTGGCTGCCAATAACCAAGACAAAATATGCCCAATTCTGTGGTACAACTGTCAACCACTATCCCATCTAAAAGTGTATTATTCAAAGTTTGTTTTATGTGCAGAAGAATTCACATCCGCTTACCAAAATCATGCTGGTTTAAGTACTTTGATTCTCAACTATATATAATTGACTTAGAAATGGCTATCCAACATTTACATCTAATAAGCTGTCGATAACTTTCATTTTACCATCCGTCTTCCCTGAGCCTCGAATCTGAGCTGTCGACATGCGTCCGTGGTGCGTTTGACACCGGCCTGATCTTTTGTGCTCCTGCTGGGTTCTGGTCCTGTCTCTCTCTCTTGTTGAGCTGCAGCTGTAGCTTCCCTGAACAGGCGCGCAGCACGTGGGCCTTTGGTGTGCGGCACCTGTGTAGTGTAATACAGTCAGTGCGCTGCGTTGTTTATTTCGGATTTGTTTGGTGCCGCTTGAAAGACCGTCTTTGATCCATGCAAAGATTCCTCACTTGCTTCCTTTTTTTTTCCTCTTCTCCCCGTTCATTCTCATTTTTAAAAGCTCTGATAACTGTATTTTTACTTGGAGTTATTTCTTGTTTTGTCTCTAACCCATGGGACTTAAATGACAGAGCCCAGTGATGAGCTTGTCAGGGCCAGGATGTTTTCTAATGTGTTTACAGCTTCGACTGACGAGTGCGTTTAAAAAGAGTGACTTGATGAATATTGCATCGGCTGAAGGGACGCCGCAGGGAGCCGGTCCAGAGGTGCAACTGTTTTGTGGCTATTTATTTCACCATTTTAAGAGCTTCTGGAAATGGTTAACTCTGGCGGCGCACTGCAGACTGTCACTAATGTCAACTGCGGTTTGTGAACACAGGCGTGCACATTAATGCAATGGTAGAGGGAATGAAAGAGAATAGACAATGGGCCTACTCCTTCTTACTATTGTGTTGTGTCGTAGAGCAGAGCACCTCAAGATCAGTTTGCAGTAGTAACACGATAAAAAAACGAAGTACTTGAAGTTTGCAGTATTTGTGATTTATTGGGTCAGTAAAAAAAAAAAAAAAAGCTCTAACAAATTGGACTACACCTGCTTTTCCCTTGGCAAATCTGACATCTCACTTATCAAAAACACAACTATTAAAAAAAGGAACCGATTTTGAACATAAGCTAGCTGGAGTCAATTTCCTTATATGGGTATTTGTTCCAACAGCGTTAGCTTCACGCCGTAACAGGGCGAGATGCTGGAGTTTCCCCAGAGAATGAAGGCCAATCCTTATGGCTCATATCTGGATTTACAAAGAGAATATGAAATGTAATCACCAGGATCACAGAGAGCCTGAAACCAAATTTATTTAGTGCAAAATCATAAGTGTGACTAAAATGGTTACTGAGCTAGAGGAGTTTACTATTCAATGCAAGTCAATAGGAACCAGAACGAGTTGGAGCAAAACTTTGTCCATGAGCACTTCCTGACTTCCACTCTGAGCTTGTGGGTTGGTCTTCCTGCAAAAATGGTTGAACTATAAAAAGCCCAAAATGAGGCACAAATAAAGAGGATCTAGACCTGCGGTTGTGGGTTCTATAGTATTCTGAATATGTTTCTGTCTGTATATGTAATTTCAGAACAAGTGGGTCAGGAGATTCTGTCCAACCTGCACAGCGACCGTGAGAAGATCCAGAGATCCAGAGAACGGGTGAGTGACCACAGCCACCTGCCCGTCCCAGAGTGCAGGAACAGTTCTGCTCACAAGTGCCTGACAGACCAGCCCGGTGCTAAAATGCGGTCTGAAATGTTACTCTGCTCAGGCACAAACAAGTACGTGTCAGCAAAACGTTATTTATGCAGGTGTGTTATTATTTATAGAGAATGATTCAGGAGTGAAATCATCCTACGCCTTTTGCTACCACTATCAGAATGTCTTCACATGGAGTAAACTTTTCTTCTCAGCCCTAGTTTTCATTTTACCATTTGCACCCCCCCAAACCCTGACCACTGCACCCCCCCTCCACACTCACGTCCCGGTCAGACAGACAGGTAGACAGAGACAGCACTGAGGATAGGGTTCCACGCAGAATGCTTAAAGATCACAACATGGCAGTGGGCGATTTCAAAGCAAATCAAACGTCTCCTTTCAAAACTGTGCACAGTGAGCCGGCCAAGTCAAGCCTTTGCCTTTCCTCGTCTTCCCTGGAGGCTTCTCGGCACACACACACACACACACACACACACACACACACACGTTCTTACTGCTCCGAGGGCAGGGGACGAGAGGCTATTTAATGGATTTACATAGCAGGCTTTGGATTATTTTGTGTGGCACTATAAAAGTTTTGGGTTGAGAAAAACTTACTGGTGGTGTAGTGTCTTAAGTTATAACACATGTGCGCTTGTTACCACCTTTCAGTTTTGGTTTCATGGCCACAACTAATTGCTGAAAACAGCTGTCCCCTCCTTCAGGCCAGAAAATCTTATTTAAAAATGTTTTGGCCATGTGTGTCCAATATGGTTGCAATAAGTAGTAGGTGTTATGAAATTACTTCTATTTAAAACCTTCTCCCCATTTCAACTCACAAAGTAAAATAATACAAAATGTCCAACTGTGGAAGATTGAGATGAGTGGGTTAAAGAGCTCTATATTTCACACTGGAAAGCTGTGTGAAATGTTTATGAAGTCCTGAAACCCCAGTAAGTTTCGTATACAGACACAGCATGGACCCAGGAGTGCAGCTCAGTGGGGGTCCGCTCTGTTGTGATGCTTTTATGACTCGGTTAGACCCAGGTTTACAGGGTCAAAACACTTTTCTGTTAGCTATACGGTCGGCTGCGAACTGAAAGGACTTCTTCAGCGCATCTCCAAACACATCTAAAGAGTTCATGTGGGCTCATGACCCCACTCAAAAGACATGCAAAGTTACAGCTGTTTTAGTGGGGTCAGGCTCCACTGAATTAAAAACATGCTCTTAAAGTTCAAAATGTAAGATATAGATGTCTTGTCACTAGAAAAGTAAAAAAAAAAAAGAATTGATCATTTAAATCCCTTTAATCAGTATTTGATTTTTAAATGTATTGATTTCACATATTTGTACACACATATTATAACTAGAATCTGCACTGGGAGAGCGCATACCCCTGCCAACACCCTGTACCATTTTAAAACTTGAATGGGCTCTTCTCACCAAATTATTGTCCGGTAGTTTTTATGCCCACATGCATGCACGCACACATACACACATACACACATACAGTCAGTACATACACACGCACAAACAGTGACAAATGCAATACCCTCCAGTTGTATGAAACATAGAAAAGCTAAAACTTTAAATGGCATGCAGGTGTTATGGTTAATCTGTGTACTGTCAATGTAACTCAAAAGGAGGTTGGAAAGTTAAGGAACCAAAGTAGGGCTTAATGATTGTTGTGTTTGAACATGCATTGAAGACATGCATGAATATAATTGAAATTCCAATGTAAATTAAATAAATTCACAACATATTCATCTTTAATCTCGCTAAAATATCTCCCTCTCCCGTCGCAACCTTTTTTAGGTTAAGCAGGCGGTTGGAGGCGGAGGAGTGAGGGAAAATGAAAAACCGGAATGATTCAGAGGGATGTATTTTAGGAGAAGCGTCTAGGGGACCGATCGGTGCGCAGAGGCAGACATCAGGCCTCCTCTGCAGGACTTGTTGTCTTTGCCAGAGGGCTCCAACCCCTGGACCCCGGGACCCCTACCTCCTCGCCTCAGACCACATGGATCTTTGGCTCTCACAACCTGTGGTACTGCTGCGCCCACCGCCAGAGGGGTGGAAGGCAGGAGAGAGGGCCGAAGCTCAGAGGAACACCGTAGTGGCAATGTACACAAGTGAAGAGTGCGAATTTACAGTATTTACAGTACATACAACTTTTCTTAAATACTTTTACTTTTTACCTAAATGGGCTTAAACTTGATTGAGAAAGCCGTATTCAAATCAATCCTGATATACCAAGTGATACAGCCATTTAAAATCATTTACTAATGTAGCATAGTATAGAGTACAGCCATTATTTATTTCAAAAAGTATGTACACAATAAGACAAAGACACATTATTAACAGCAATACATAGTTTGAAAAGTGGTCGGACTAAGCAGACCCCAGTCTCTCCCTCTCATCATCAATCCATCAAAAAACATAAACTTAGACATTACTGGTACATCAAATATTTGCAAGCGCATTGTGTGACCAAGATCTAAGAAATTTGCGATACGAATTATGATTACTCACTTTGACTCTCTGACCCTACACCTCTCCCCCACTGTTAAAGAGCTAAAGCTGTTCTAAGTCTTGCTCCAAGCTTGAATGGGGATAGAGTTCAAAGTATAGATTAGATTACAGAATATTAGTTTGTTTTTTGTAAAATGCAGCCTAAAACACGGAGGATTTTGGCTGTATTTTGGAGTGAGTTCATTAGCACTTCTGTGGCAGTGATGAGCAAAAGTAACTCCTTGCTGACTCCAGAGGGAAACTTTCTTTGCTCAAACTCACATCATTCCCTAAAAATGCCACTACAGGTACACGTCTATTGCACCGTGCTCCATGCATCGTCAGCACTTCCCTGCTCCATCATAAAGGCACAAGTGAAAGAAGAGAGTTGGAGAGCGAGAGACAGAGAGAGAGAATTGGAGAATAAAATGCCTCAAGATCCAACATTAGCTTTGGCTTTTTAGGTGTGATGCTTATTTCAACTGCTCCTTCAAGGACTCCCCGCGTGTAACGGACGCCGGGGGGAAAGGACCTTGCCGCTCCTGTTTCTGAGGTTGGGCGGTGTGTAGAAATGCCAAAAGTCATCAGTGGGATAAAGGGGGCTCTGCTGATTGACTAGAAGACCGTGAAACAGAAAGAACGACTGGAGGGTGGAGAAAATGGCCCGGACACTTGTTGTACACTGCTGTGAAAGTGGCATGTTTAATTAGTTTGAGACGTAATTAATGGGCCCTTTAAAATCATGACGAATGAATAGATAATGTCTATAAAAGATGTCTATTTCAGGACATGAACAGGACCAATCAACTGAACAAAATTACATAATAATCGTACATACATTTTGCGAAAATGGGTTGGACGAAGCAGATACTTAAATTTGTCCAACTCATTCGACAGACGATTTGGAACAGTCAAAAAACAAAGAAAAGTAACTCATAACGTATTATATTTGGTACATCACACACAGACACAGACCTAAACACTCTCTGACCCAACACCCCACCCCCTCTACTCGCTGTGTACAGAATGCATTGCTTTTTTCTTTCTCCTCCTCCTATTTTATACAGTTTTGTAAGATTCTAAAGGGTTTGAACGCGTTTTTAAATAATCTGTGAATTGTTTCCAAAGAGTAGCCTCACGCACTGAAGATGGATTTTAAAGTAGTTCTAATGGCGTGTTCCTTTGCTTTGTTCCAGCTGAGAGAAACGGATGCCAACCTGGGCAAGAGCTCTCGTATCCTGACTGGCATGCTGAGAAGGTAAGCACCAGGTAGGGAGCCTCTTTCTCCACCTCTGCATGACCCACTTGTGTTTGATCTGTGCTTATCAATCCATTCAATAAACTATAGCTTTCCAATTCCCCTGAGGATATTTATGGTATCTAAAATCAAACGTTGATGCTGCAATGTGTGACGTGTGTTGATATGTTTTATAATGTCCAAAATGTGTTGTTTTTACTCGGACATGGAAACGGCAAGCCTTGTGAGATTGCCCTGATCTCAAAAAAACGTATGTGTACTTTGACTCTTTTGATTCATGTTTAAATAACTGAACATCTTGCTGTATTGGGGTATAGCATTTTATCATGTCTACTTAAGTATAAAGCCAGGGAACATTATGCAGTATTACTTTAAACCTTCTTTTTGTGGCGGATACTCTCAATGTCAATCCTCTTGCTTGATTACACCAGTGAAATTTCAACAGATAGACGCGGGAAAAGCCACATTATTTGTCTCCCCTCGCTTTCTTTGTGTCGCTGCCTTTGTTTTCAGAAGTTCACACACAAAAGGCAAGAGAGAAAGTCCCTCCGCTGTTTCAACAGTAGCAGAATTATGTTATCCAGCCGTCCTCTAACTCACGCTGCACTCTGTAATATCTTGTCACATCTCCATTTCATAAAGTCCCTGTGAGCCTGCCCCTGAACCGTGACGCCACGCTTTTGTCTCTCTCCTTTCTCTTTCTTGTCTTTTTAGTATTATTTTTTCCCCTCCTTCCGTGTCGCCCACTGTGGATTTTGATTAAGAGTAATATGTAAATGACAGAGAGTAAATGTAAAAATCCCGAGGCCTGGAAGGAAGTGCCAATTGAAATGGATGCTTGAGTGCGCGGGGACAATTTGCGGGTTGGACGGCCGTTACTTGAGAAGGGTAGCGGGCCAGAGGAGGGCTGTGATGCCGACTGTAACCAATATTTCTGCATATGTCTCCCATTTTGTCAAGTCTGATTACGAGCCCGGCATGTCATCTCGAGCTGTCCTGGGCCCATTCATCACTGTCCCGAACCCCCCTCTTCGCCCCCTTCCCCAGTAAATAACACGCTCTTATTTCAATATTATCATATTAATGTTAAAGTTCAGCTGTCACCTAATGGGAAGACTTAATCAGACGTAGCATTTTAAAACGGCCCAGGCCCACACTCCCCTCGCTGCTATTCAAGCCTTACCTCTCTGGCTCAAATCAGGATTTATGAGGGGTTTCTAAAAGTGGGGTGGGGCGGTCTTTCTGCTTGACAGGAGAAACACAGTGTACCCCTAAAAGTCACACAAAACCCAAAGCTTTTATTATTTTACACTTCTTTCTATTTTGATAAATGAAAAGTGTTTTGTTGTAAAGTCATGGACCGCAAATGTAAAATCTGAAGTAATTTAGTCACAGGAAAGAGAACGCTGAGGAAGGTTCAATTGTGTCTCATTCCGATCTCGCTTTTTAGGCCATCTTTCATCGTTTTGGTCATTCGTTTCATTATATGTCCCTTCAAGTTGGCCCGTCTGTTGATTAATTGTGTGTTGTTTGAGTAATTGTGGTGTTGTTACATCACTCTATTGTGGAAATTGAGGGTGGAGGTTTGTCATCTTCAATTTGTATAAATAAATGTGTTGGTTTTTGCTTGAGTAGACTTTGCTCCTGGGAGAGAGCTATAGTCTTTCTTTGCCCATGATCGATTACTAATTTGAATGTATGTATTTCCCTGTAATGTCAATGTTCAGCTATTCTGCACCCAGATTGACACACGCAGAAGCCTCTATGGGTCATTCACTGATTCTGGATGTTTTAGTTCTATTTGATTTTGTTGTTATGATATGAATAAATGATGACTTCTATCCAAGTCCTTTTGAGCTGGAAACTGCCACGCTGTGTATTTTGGGCAATTCCATGGGCTCCTCAGAACACTGTGATCTCATATAATGAGCTAAACTTGATTTTTATCACTACAAGACATGGATGTGATTTTCTGCTGCATCATTAGAAGAACATGGGAGAGAAATTAACAACACTTCGATTTCTGTGGGGCTTTCCTCTAAAGCTCATGAGTAGGTACTGTACATGAAAAATTCAGCTCTGTGCCTAAATGTACATAGATGAACATAGTTACCATGAGGCCATTTCACCTCCGCCTTTCCTTTGAGCTGGAAGTAATATTAACTTGCATATGTTTTTGTATTTTTGGTTTACTTCCGTTTTAACCCATGCCGGTTGGCCAGACTTGAGCCCAGCTGAGAAACAATTAGACACTCATTAGCTCGCTGTCATGGTTCAAGAAAGCCAATTAACTGAGCGACTTTGTGGAAGGTTTTCTCTGTTGGGAAGAAACACACCTGATAAAACTGTTGCTTTGTTTCGAAATGAATCTCTCCACAGATTGTCTGTGAAACTCGTCAATGTCACCCGGGATAATTAGCAAAAGAAAACAGTTTTGGATTGGTGCTAAAAAGATCTTGTGCGCTTTTGTCAAAAATCTTCTGCATTTCCTCAGTTAGCTGTGTCAGGGCTGTAGAGTGGGATAGTGAGCTGGTTTGCCACTGGTTTATTTTTAATTCAATAGAATGAAAATCCTTTGGGTTTTAATTATGCGATGACAGCCTCAGCAAATGACACCAGAGCTGTCTTATATGGTTTTCATATCATCTCATTTGAACTGCTGACGTTTAGTTTCTTTATGATGAACACCAGTCCACTTGCTCACTTATGTTAACTATTTTAACCTGCTGTACTCAAAAAAGGATAAAGTGTTTATCTGAGCGGGAATGTAAAAACAAAATATCCATGGATCAAAGCATCCTAAATAGCGATCAGATTCTTTTAAGTTCACATTTAAGCTGAGGACATTATGGTCTGAATAATGAGCAGATAATGAGTGCAAGTGAAATTAGCCTCTGGTCCGAGGTCTCTGTGTCTGATGTGGACTCTTCCACACACTGTTCTGTGTGGCACTTACACACACTGTTCTGTGTGGTACTTACACACACTGTTCTGTGTGGCACTTACACACTGTTCTGTGTGGTACTTACACACACTGTTCTGTGTGGTACTTACACACACTGTTCTGTGTGGCACTTACACACACTGTTCTGTATGGCACTTACACACTGTTCTGTGTGGTACTTACACACACTGTTCTGTGTGGCACTTACACACACTGTTCTGTGTGGCACTTACACACTGTTCTGTGTGGCACTTACACACACTGTTCTGTGTGGCACTTACACACACTGTTCTGTGTGGCACTTACACACTGTTCTGTGTGGCACTTACACACTGTTCTGTGTGGCACTTACACACTGTTTTGTGTGGCACTTACACAGACTGTTCTGTGTGGCACTTACACACACTGTTCTGTGTGGCACTTACACACACTGTTCTGTGTGGTACTTACACACACTGTTCTGTGTGGCACTTACACACACTGTTCTGTATGGCACTTACACACACTGTTCTGTATGGCACTTACACACACTGTTCTGTATGGCACTTACACACACTGTTCTGTATGGCACTTACACACTGTTCTGTGTGGCACTTACACACACTGTTCTGTGTGGCACTTACACACACTGTTCTGTATGGCACTTACACACACTGTTCTGTTTGGCACTTACACACTGTTCTGTGTGGCACTTACACACACTGTTCTGTATGGCACTTACACACACTGTTCTGTATGGCACTTACACACACTGTTCTGTATGGCACTTACACACACTGTTCTGTATGGCACTTACACACTGTTCTGTGTGGCACTTACACACACTGTTCTGTGTGGCACTTACACACACTGTTCTGTATGGCACTTACACACACTGTTCTGTTTGGCACTTACACACTGTTCTGTATGGCACTTACACACACTGTTCTGTATGGCACTTACACACACTGTTCTGTGTGGTGTTCCTCCGCTGAACGTCTCAAGCATTGCGGCCTCTGCGGTCCAGTGGTTGGGAATGGGATGCAGCTCCAGACCCAGTTAGAACCACTGGGGCTGGGGTGGCCGTAAAGAAGGAGGGGGCAGCGTGAAGGGCAATGAAGCGCAGGACGAAGGGGGAGGATGTATATTTTGAAGCTGAGGGGTTGTCTGCGCACTGGCAGCTGATCCCACATGCAGGTGGTCGACTCAGTCGCCAGGCAGATCAAAAAGTCAAGGCCCCGGGTGGACCTCTCTTTGAAATGGGAATGGGGCCTAGATATCAGACAGAAAACATAAGCAAGCTCCCAGCCACAGATCAGCTCCATATTCATGGCTCTGGAGTGATGGGCAGCGGCAGGACGGCCCGTCTTCAGAAGAGCTCCGCACTCTGGACACTGATTAAGAGATCAGTGTCTGACTGGTCCTGGGTGGTGCTGCAAAGTGCAACACGCTCATCAGTAGTGGCAATTTGAACTAAGGACTGGCATTTCTGTGATTTTGGAAAATGAATTTATATTATTATAAGTTTATATTCCATATCATAACTTGGTTCTGAAATCCGGACAGACGGTCACTAATTGAATCAAACCCTCTTGAAACATGTGAACATCTCAAACCAATTATATCAAAGGCATTTTAAGGGATGAAGTATCAGTACCTCATAAAATCCCTCTGTACGTATATAACACGTACAACAGAACTATGTTTTAGGAGACCAAACTGCCCTATTTCACATGCCATTATATTTTGCCTTACAGCTGAACTCATCACAGTAGCTCCAGCTCGTCTCGTGTTTTGTGTCCCGGGAGGAGCAGATCACTCCCAGTAGGTCCAGCCCTCTCTGATCTCCATGTTGCTGCCTCTGTAACTCCATCCGCTACATTTAAACATATTCCCTTTGCTTTGCGATTTGTTCATGTTCAGACCCCCCCTCCTCTCGCTCTTGCCCCTCACTTCAGCGCTCACGCAACCACCTCCCTTTGGGTGAGTCCTGGGCCGGGCCACGGTCACCTCCTTCAGGGCAGGACAGTTTTATGTCCACTTTTTTTGTTTTCTGGCACTAGAGAAAAGCAGGCATCACTTGTGCTTCACTGCTCATCTCCCTCAACTTAAAAGACCACATTTTTTTCCAACAATTGGCAATTTAATTCATCGTGTGTAAGCTGTGAATACTTTTTCAGTCATTTTTATGGGATGAAACACTGTTTAAAGTACGTACTGGTTGTAATCATGCTGAAGTAACTATGTATACAGAAAGTCTTGTCTTTGAGCATTCATTATTGATTGAATGGATTTTTTATGTAATTTCTAAAAAAGTTATTTGGCAAATGCTTCATCCTTCTGAGATTAAACCCATAGACACAGCATCATTTTTTAGTGGCCTCCATTTGGATTTAAGATGTTTTTCATTCTTTCAATTTACTTTTTCCTTGTTGGTGCTTTTTCCTTTCTCCTGCCTGTGTGGCTCTGTGCGAGGGGCTACAGTGCGAGCGGCCTCTACTGGGACAATGACAGGGTTTGCCTCAGCCTCATTACTCGCAGCTCCAGAGCCAAACAAGAAGCCCCGGCACCACCTCACTCTCCTTCCTGCTTCATCTCCGTCTGCTCCTCTCTTCCACCACCTCGCCCATTAGAGACTGCTGATCGGACCGTTTTTTTCTGTCTTTTTTACAGCCTAGAAAGACAGTCACACACACACACACACACACACAAAACAGGCCGGGCTGCTGAGAATGGGGCTGTTGACAAGGGCAAAGACGTGTTGTTGTTTTATATAAGGGATGCATTTGTCTGTTGAGGATTGACTCGCTTAACTGGCTGCCAAAGCTCCCTTTTTCTACCCCTACATATCTGCCTGCCTCCCTTATCAGAAGCACAGGAAAGGTTTTGTTTTGAATGGGTCAGGACATTGTTGAATCATAATTATTACCGCTCTGGCAATGCTGAAATTCCTTACAATTTTCGTAACCATGGTGGAAATGACGCCGCATGGGTAAGCAGAGAATAGAAGCACAATTTAAAAGTTTTTGGTTATTAAAAAAGAGATTTTTTTCAAAAACTCACAGGGTCATCCTCTGACATTGTGGTGGCGTTATGTCGAGTCGTCTTCATATCGGTGATGGCGCATGGTTTTCTCCTCTGCTTTAACTCTGACACACTGTCGTTCTGACGGTATGACTGGAGATCAGGGCTTCTTGCGTGCCTTGAAGTGGCTGCAGGTGTCACTGAAGGGTACCCGCCATGTTTGATCTGCTGTCTCCGTGCTGTCGAGGCCATGGCGCACCCTCTGATTCTGCCGTCACAGTCATGAAGAGGTGCACCCTGTCCAAAACTTCTGCTACTACTTTTGATTGGCACATCAGCAGTCATCAGCACTATTTAGAGTAGTCCAATTTCACCAACTTGATGTATGCAGTGCAGATTATGCTATATAGGAAATGATTGTCAAAGAATTATACAGGGATGACCTTTATAATAGCAACATCTTTAGTCCAGAATACTGCAAAAGGAACAAAATAAACATCAGATGAAACCATTTTGGATGATCCTGCTGAGGGCCTTGTCTGAGAACAAAAAGCTTTCACACATCAGAAGATTCTGTCCTAAGTAGGTCCCTGTCTTTATTGAGGAGCTGCACAAACAAAAGCGACAGATGAAACAAAATGGAGGAATGAGGCTCCAGTCTATATGTCTTTAGCAAACACACAACGGCCTTTTCCTTCCGTCCCTTTCATTTTACTACATCCGCTCCGGTTTTTCCTCCCTCCTGCTGTGAGCTTCTGTAGAAATTACAGGTGAGCTCTCAGTTTGTGGCAGGCCCTGCTTTCGTCTAGTGGGCGCAAGGAACGCTTCTGCTGGAGCAGTAAGAGGAGGAGGGAAAAGAAGAGATTCCTGCTTTTGCATGGCTGCTGTTGTTTATGGAGCGCACTCTTCTTTGTGTGTCTGGCGATAACTTATTCAGCACAGGACCATTCATCCAGGGGTTGAGCGCGGGCGTCCGTCAAGACGGAAAATAATGAGGCGACAGCAGCGCAGAGGATAGCTCCTTGCTATGCCTGGGTCGCCCCTCTCTCCCTCCCCTCACCCTCCCTCCTCTCGTCCTGCCGCACATTATCAGCCCATTTAAATAGATAATAGGGGGCCTTCTTCGGGACATTTTGAAGCAATTAGAACCTATCACATTGTCTCTTCCCTGACTGTTGTTCCCTCCCAGCAAGCCATTGTGAGTACTTCTAGGGCACATATGCAACAGCTGACTGGGAGAATGCACTGTTGAATGCCTCTACATTACTAGATGGCAGCATTTGTCGAGCAGAAAAACAGACCTATTCTGTTCCCCATGCGTATCTAAAACTGTGGTGTACAGTCTGCCCACTTGTATGTGCCGAGCAGTCTTCCATCAGTCTCATACTTGGACATGAGATCCCGCCGCCGTGGTACACTCTTCAGTGTGCCAGAAGAAAATGTTGAAACTCTTGCACTCTTCATACCTTCTTGCATTTTCTGTCAGCTCTAATTTACTGTATGTCTCCTCGTCATCTTATCTTGCTTGTTGCATACACTGCTTTTAAAGATAAACTTGTATTGAATTTGTCAATATAGTGAAACAACGTTAAATGAATGAGATGGACAATATGTATTTTATCTACTACAAAGCAAGTAGCACCATCTTTTCGCCGTTTGCATCATGGTGGTATTTTTCAGTTGTTGTTTGTCCTTAGATCTTTATTTGACAGGGAGCAAAAGCGTAAAATATTAACAAATACTGAATTCTGACTTGTGGGTTTTCCTTTTAATATTTTCGTCTACGCCATCACTCAAGGATCGTGTATGCCTATATCTCATTCTCTCCCAGCCCAGGATGGTGCAATGAAAACAAAGGCATCCCACTGTTACCCTGTTGATGGCATAAAAGGTCTCCTTTATCACTATGGGCACCACAATAAAACCCAGCCTAAATGGGTGTACGCTGAGGCATTTGCAGCCTCAAGCCTTCAAGGGAGTGACTGTCAAAGTAAAGGAGTTGTCGCAAGTTTAAGTGTTGGATTCACCACCCAAAGAAATACAGTAGATGGAAAATAAAACATACACAGTTGGAACAGGAGTCTTTCTGAAATGCCATGATGTGTTTGATGTTTGGTTCACAAAGAACCACAAACCAACATATAGATTATTTCAGACGTTTGTTTTGTCATATACTATTTATTGTTTGATAAAGAGATTTTCTTCATATAATTGAGTTTTTCATTTTCTGCATTCCAAGTGGTTGGTTGTTGATTCTTAATCAGTTTTGTAAATGCTGTAAAGGATTTCTCAAATATTGATAAATAAGTTTGACAACAAAAGCCTGGAGCTGTTTGGAGCTTTAGGGACCAGTGTGTCTTTAGTGCAAATATTTAACAATCTGGTTCTGGGATGATTCATTTTTAGACTATTTTGGCAAAGCAACACTTTCATGCATCTGGTTTGTATTATTGTAATCTCTGTCTATAAAATAACATAATTGTGTGTTATTTAAATCATTGCTATTGAAATTATTTTAAAGTTAAAATGATGTGTGAAAGCATATGTAAAGTTGAATGTTTTTATGGTTTGTCATAAACTGGGCTTTGAAATCCAATAAAATAGTTTGGCTGAGAAATCTTGAGTCAAGTGCAATCCACATTTGTGCCCTGGCGTGGTTTGGGGAGTGAACCAGCCATGCACTGCTGCTAATGACAGGTTCCATGTTGCCTTGTGGGCTTGCAGCCCAAAACCCTGTTTGTTTGGAGAGTGGTGCTCGGCCGTGAAGTGCTGGCCCAGCTGGCAGACTCTCTTTTGCCCCTTTGGCCCGCTGACTGGGGCATGTTTGGCCTGCACCAGCCAGGCAGACTGGCATCCAGTGGTCTGTGGAGGACGAGGCCATGGAGGCTTTTCTGACAGAGGAACCAAACTGTTGGCTGAGCACCCTGGTGCTAGTCCAGGCCTAATGCCAGCTGGAAACAAGGTCCCCCCACACCCTGCATACACATAGTCTATGTGGAGACAGCACCCACGGGTCAACATCAGTCCAACAACCTCGCAGCATAATGCAGACTCTGAATATATAGATAGTTTTTGTTCATTTATTTATACAGTTATTTTCATATTTCATATTTGTTGATTATTTCCTTTTTTCCAAACCTAGAATAGGATTAATACAGCTCCATTCACACAAACTGCTGATGTCTGTTCAAATGTCTCCAAATATGGGGCACCACAGTTTATTTTCCAACTGTTTGCGGGGTCACTTGGTTACATCCTGTCAGCCATTGTGTAAACTTTAACCCCCGTCCCATATTCAAACGGCGCCAGGGCGAACATAGCTTTAGTGTTTAAGGGAAGTCGCGAGGACATTGAAGTCTTGGCTTAGCATCCTGGTGTCACTTTCCCAGCCTGTTTGTGTAGTCCGCCAATACTCATTTTCCTCATCTGACCCTGAACGCATCACGGA